AGGACCGAGGTGTCAGGTGCGTCCAGGCTTCGGGGTGGCCAAGGCAGCCCCCCGTCAAGGGCTGGATGCACCAGCCATAGGGGACGCCCTCTGTATGCAGGGTCCCCATCTGTCTGCAGAGCTGCACAAGGGACCAGGGAGGCATTACCGTGGCAACAGCCTTGGCGGTGCCAAGGGGCTAATTGTGTGGCTATCACACCTCTGAGGGGCTGCATTCCAGGCCTCCAGTTCTGTGGTAATACTGCCCATCAGACCAATGCCTGGGCTGAGGAGCAGAAATGAGGCCCCTGGGCCCAGAAAGGGACCTGCTGGGACCACCTCTGCCATCAGCCGCAACTTGGGGCCACCTCACCTGTGGCCCTTGTCCTCCCATGCAGAGAAGCACAGTTGCTCCCGCCGGAACCCCAGGAGAGATGGCTTGGCCGTGCCTCCAACAGAGCCTTGGGGTGAAAAGAGCCCCAAAGTGGAAAGGGCTTGACTGTCCACCGTCCACTGGGGAAGGGACAGAGAGGCAAAACACCACAGCTCATCCCTGTAGGGAACCACCCCACGGTCACGCGAAATGGAGCAGCTTCACATGCATGGACATGATTAGGTCTTCAAACACATCCTGGGGGGCGGAAAAGCAAGACGCAGCAAGATGGGGACAGCACCCCCCACACTTAAAGCAGACACAAAATGATACTGGACATTTTCTACAGCTACATAACACGAGTGCAAAATTTTAAAAATGTAGAATGTCTGGAAGGATCTATAGCTCCCAGCAGTGATGACGCTGGGGGCGGAAATGGGAGGGGAACTGAACAGGGCGGTGAGGGGACCTTAGTTTCTTCCATTTTTAAAGTAGATTGGGTTCCTATTTTACCTGTGTTATCAAAATAATTTAAAATTAAGTCTCTGCTCCATCTCTCTTTCTCAGCGAGGTCCCCTCTGACCGCCCCATTTAACCCCGAGGCAGGCCCCGCCCCCCCCAAAGCCCCCTGCCTCTGATATTTCCACAGCACCCACCCTCCCCCAGGGGAGTGCTCATTATGAGGCCGCTGTGTGGGGTCTTCTCCCTTCCTGGGGGGAAGGGGGCGGCAACTCCAGCCCAACAGGCGAATCCAGCCACTGCGTTTTTATATAGCTCCAGAGCTAAGAATGGTTTTGTTTTTTAATGGTTGAAAAGCAAAAGAGGGATAATATTCTGTGACACGTGATAATTACGTGAACCTCAAATTTCAGTGTCCAGAACATTTTACTGGAACACTGCCACGCCCGTTTGTCTGAGAGCTGCTTTCTGCCATAAAGGCAGAACTGAGTGCTTGTTATGGCCCAAAAGCCTTGATATTTACTCTTTGGCCCTTTGCAGACAAAGGTGGCTGACTTCCAGTCTGGACTGTGAGCCCCAGGAGGGTGGGGGTCTTCATGTTGTCCCTTTTGTATCCCAAGTGCCTACGACTGTGTCTGGCACGCAGTAGGTGTCCAGACAATCTGGCTGACTGAGGGAATGGAGGCGTGTGTGGTGCAACATCTTGCTCCGGCCTCCTAGAGACAGTGAGCCCCAGCTCTGGCCGGCAGACATCACTGCCTGGGCCGGGTCTCCCTGAGCACGGAGAGAGGCATCTGTGGGGCAGGCAGTGTCATTTGCTCCAAGTCCCCGGAGGAGAGAGGGCAGAGGGTGGCAAGGCCTGGATTTGACACCAACAGGGTGGGCCCCTAGGTCTCTGGAACAGTGGCATGTCCTTGCTCAGCCACATGGGCCTCCCCCCAGTGACCCCCACACCCACAACCTCTCCCTGCCTGAGGCTGATCCTGCTGTGCCGTGCACTCTGGTGCTGTCTGGTGGTCACCGGAGTGGCTCCCCCCTAGGCCTGCGCTGCCTTAGCCTCATCAGCCATCCTCTGAGGCGACCCTGGCCCAGCCTCCCTCCCCTATCTGACTTCCTAACCTAGAGATCCAAGGGCTCACCAGCGCAGCCTCTGTCGGTTCCTTCAGGTCCCTCCCTCTGGCTCTCTCTCTGGGGTAGCCTGACGACACAGGATGTCCTCCCTACAAGGGATGGGGGAGCTGCTGGCAGCCTCTCCTCTTAGACTAGGTTAGACTAGGCTAGACTAGGCAGGACCACGGCTCCTGGGGGCTCCCAGGCTGCTGGACAATGCCCATCCATGTCATCACCAGTATGCACCCCTTCCTGACAGAGGGTGGGAGCGTGACCTTGCTCCCCATGGCCCAGGGACCCACCTAGAAGGATAGGCAGGGGGCAGCCTTAGGAGCTTCCTTGTGTTTTCTCCACATCTGGAGATGTCCCCATCTGGGTTAAGGGCTCCTCGGTGCAAGGAAAAGAACTGCTCTGAGTTCTACTCTGGGGACAGGAAATGTGTCTCTAATTAGCGTGAAACACCACCCAGCAGTGGTCACCACGTGCTTGTTACCAGGTACACGCTGCACCACTCACAACTGTTCATCTGCCTCTGCCAAGAGATCGTGGGCTCCAGGAGGGCAAGGGCACATCTGAGCTGCCCTGCCTCCAGCCAGGGCCTACCTGAGTGGACAACAGTGGATGGGGGATGAATGGATGGATGGTTGAATGAATGTATAGATGAGGAAGTGGATGGATGGGTGGACGGACGGACGGACGGACGGACAGACGGATGGATGGACGGACGGGTGGACGAGTGCATGGATGGATGGGTGGACAGATGGGTGGGTGGATGGATGGGCGGGCAGGCGGATGGGTGGGTGGATGTCCTGTAGCAGAACCAAGCTTTGGAGAACTCTGGGTTCCCAGCCAGGGTCACGACCACTCCTATCGGTCATTCCTATCGCATCTCATCAATCCTATTTCCAAACACATCCTGGTTCTACCACTTCCTTCTGTCTGTGCCCTCTGCCCCCCACCTCTCCAGCACTCCAGGCTCCTGGGCCTCTAGGGCAGCTGGTACCAAACCTGGAACACCGTTCCCCTGGAGCTTCCCAGAGATGGCACCCCCTCGCCTGGCCACCCTATCAAGTGGACCCTTTTCCCAGGCCCCCTGGCTGTCATATCTAGCCCATCACTCCGACTTTCTTCATCGCATTTATTACTAACCCAAATGCTCATTTGCTTGCTTGGTTTTGTGTCTCCCCTCCGAGAACGCAGCACAAAGGCTGGGCCCTTGTCCTCCTCTCTCCTCATCACCCGAGTGGTGGGCACTTGGGGCACACGTTTCTCCCGGATGGAGCAGAAGGGCAGGACAGGTGTGGCGCAAAACTCCACCCAGAGCGGTCAGATCTGTGCGGCCCCTCCCGCTGCGTGCTCTGGGCAGCTCCCTCCCCTCTCTGAGCCGCAGTTTCATGAGGAAAAGGATCTCCACCTCACAAGGGGGTTTTGAGGTTTGAAGGAGAAAATGAAAGCGAAAGCGTTTGAAATTAGAAAACGCAAGACATGTAACATTGTGAGCCGCATTTATTGTAGCGCATATACACCGCCCACGGCCGGCGCCTGTCAGGGACCCCAGGGACATCCAGCCTGTGTCTGGGAGCCAGTGGGTGCGTGCCCCCAACCCTGGCCCCCAGCAGCAGCTCCCAGCATCCCTGAATGGCAGAGCAGCCAGGGCCCCGGAGTGACTGACCCAAAGGGATCTATGGGAGCACAGGGGCCCAAGCTGGCCCTCAAGCCTTCTGTTCAGCTTGCAAGGTTTTTAAAATTTAATTAGTTGCCAACAACTTAAAAATCAGGATATTTCACATAAAAATCTGGATTTCTGGTTTCTCTAGACTTCTGCCATTAGCCCTGCATTCCCACTTTACAGCAATTAGCTACAACTGAATGACAGCCACCAACTTCAGATGGGGATCTATGTTTTGCCATAGTCCCCACCACACCCTATCATCTCTCAAGGCCAATTGCCATTCTCAACTCAATTGTGCAAATATTTCTCCTGTCACAAAAGCAAGGTCTCTCTGTGTCCCATCTCCAGCAACAGCAAGAAAGTCCAAGTTGCACTGCAAAGGCCTCACAACTCAGAGGCCTACTTCATTCATTTCTATAACCTGCCTGGCCCCGAGGGCATCTGAGTTGGAAATCTGGGAACTAGTTCAGACCCCTCCTTTCATCCACAAGGCACAGCCCAGGGAGGGGCGCAGCAGAGTCATTCCATACACACCCCTTCATGCAGCTAAGAGGCAAAGCTGAGAGCAGCAGTGATATTTTCCAAGTCTGAGCCAATTTGCTCCCTTAGAAGTTTTCAAATTCCCCAAACCCCAAAGCACTAGTAAGCAGGATGGACACACCAGGCACTCAGCCGTACCAGGGTGAGGTTGCTGCAGGAAAGAAGCCAGGCCCAGGGAATGCTGTGCTGGCGTGCCCTCTGGTGGCCACGAGGCAGCTCTGCAGGCCACCAGGAAGATGCTAAACTTGGTTCCAAGCAAGAGTCCAGGAGTCAACCACCGATGGCGCCCACAGCAGGCTCCTCCCAACCCCACGGGTGCCAAGCCCTGGGGTTCCAGCTACTTCCTTCCCAAAGCCTTCCTGATCTCCAGCCCACACCACAGCCACTCTCCTGGGCACGCTGGCACCCTCTCAGTCCCCAGGAGGACCAGGCCCCTCCCAGCCTGCCTCTTCAGGGCAGGGTCTAGCCTCCCATTCTTCACATCCCGTGCCTCGCTCCAGGCGTGGCCCACAGGAGCCTCGTGGTGTCGGCAGGGAGTAACCCCAAGGGGCGGGGGAGGCCAACTCCAGCCTATAGGGGTGGGCAGGGCACTTGGGTGAGCAGAATGGGCCAGGGGCCCTCAGGGCACAGGACAGGCATGTCCCAGGAGACACCGTCACTGAAGAGTCGCTGCGGCCAGACAGCCAGCCTTCTTGAGAAGCCGGGGATCTGGACTTTTATGCAAAATATACGAAATTTTAAAGGTTGGCTCGAATGTATACACTACCCAGGCCAGGAAAACACGCTGGCAGGGTGCGTCCAGGTGGAGAGCTCTGCTGAAGACCTGCGCTGACAGAACCTCTGAGATGGTGGGCGGAAGCCAGTGGTTTTCAAGGTTTTGTTTATTTGAGTAGTTTGTAGCCATCATCATGTTTGATCCTGAGAGGCAAGCAAGGGAGAGAAAATTCTTGGACTCATTTTAGAGTCTGAGACACTGAGGCCAAAGTGGGTTCCTGGCAGGGTCAAGGTCACAGCTAGTAGAGAAGAGAGCTCTGAAGCTACATGAGACCCTGTCCTGGGCAACAGCAGGCCCCCAGGCCGCCCCACACAGCCATGCACGGAGAAGTGTGTCCCAGCCTGCACTGTTCCTAGTCCCCTGGAGAGCCCACCACCCTACGGTAGCCGAGACAGTGGCCCCCTGTGCACACCCCCGCCGACACACCCCCCCTCCATGCACACAGCTCAGGACAGGCGGCCCGGGCAGAGGCATGCAGCCTTCTCTGTGGGCACACAGCAGACACACGTGTGAGCCCCTGTGCGGCTCAGATCCAAGCAGCAACACCTCCTGCAGCCCCACGGGGGACCCCCTGCGTAGGCCAAGCGGGCCACCGTGGCCGGCGTGGCAGCCTCACCAGCTGGCTTTCACTGCCTTGATGTCACTCACAAGGTTCTGGGCCAGGCAGATACCGAAGATCTGTAAGACAGAGGGAAGGCGAGGGAGAGGCTGCCAGCAGGGCGGCAGGGCCCGGGGCAGGGGCGGGGCATGCAGGGCCGTGGTAGTACCTGGAGAAGGGCAACGCCCACAAAGACCCCAGCCACGACAATCAGGTTGTCCTGCAGCCACTTCTCAAACTGGCCCACGCAGCCTTTGGTATGGATGGAGCCCTGCTGCTCCAGCTCCTGGGGACACACAGGCACTGGGCTTGGCGCATCCACCCCTGCAGGCCTCACCTCCGTCCAGCTTGCCAAGCTCAGCCCTGCCCCAGGGCCTCACACCTTGGTACCTGCTGCCTGGAGCTCTACCACAGGACCTTTGCATGGCTGGCTCCCTCTCATCACTGGGGTCTCAGCACAGACACTCCCACCTCCAAGAGGCCTTCCTGACCTCCCAGCGCCAACCCCATCACCCTTATTTTATGTTCTTCCAAGCTCTTAGCTGAAAATGTCACATTACTGTTCATATTTATTTATCCACGTCTGTCTGTCTCCCTCCACGGAGTGGGAGCTCCTTGAGAGCAGGGCCTCTGTCTGTCTGTCTGATAGCATGAACCGCAAGTGTCGAGGGCAACGCCAGGCACCCAGCGGATGCTCAGCAGAGCTGGAATGGGCACACGCACACGTGCCCATGTCCACAGGCCCACTGCCCCTGTGTCTGGCAGTACCGAGCCCCACATGCCTCCATGGTCCCTGGGACTCGGCACCCCTCCCCACAGACTCCCTGAGGCCTTTCAGAGGAGCTTAGGGGAGTCCCCCCTTCCCATCCCAGTGCCCCCAGCAGCCCCCAGCGCTGTCCCCACCCCTCTTACCAGTTTGAGCCGGACATCGTAGCCGCACTGGGTGTTGAGGACATCTTCCTAAGGAGAAACAGGCCAATGAGTGGCTCGGTGAGGGGCGCCCAGCACTGCAATGGTCCTTGCTTCTCAGGGGAAGCAGACGGAACCGTGGATCCTGCTCCCACGCGACGCTCGCCAAGGCCCGCGCACCTCTTCCCTTGGCGCCAGGGCACACGGCTGCACACGCCAGCATGAGCTGCCTCCTGTTTAGGAACCCTGCCTGCTCGAGTTTTATAAGAACAGGAAGAAACTTGGCCCTCAGTGTGCTGGGTGGGATGTCATGGCAAGAAGTTTCGGCTCTGAAGAAAGCCAGAAAGGGATCAGAACCCTCACCCCCTGCCACCCCAGCACGGCGGCCCAGCAGGGTGGCCACTGACTGGGCACTCACGACTTGAGGGAGCAACCTAGTCCCCGGCCTTCAGACCACTGCCCGGCTGGCCAGGAGCAGACCCCGCCTGGAGCTGCACTTAGTCGGGCACACAGGGTGCGTGAGCCCTCTGGGCCAGGCCCTGGGCCGGGCCCTGCAGTTTCCATCTTGTTACCATCAAAGAGATAGGTTTTGCTGAAGAGGTGCAGCCCCCACTCCAGCAGGCCTCAGTGTGGCCCATGGACACAAATATCCCAGACTAGCAGGGGCGGCCCTATGTAAAATGACCGCCCCAGGCACCCACGGCCCCCAGAGCGGAGCCGAGCCGAGTGAGCCATGCGGTGGGTTTTTCCCAGACTGGACTGCACACCACAATACTCTCGCCCCTCCTCACCAGGCCCCACTCACCGCAGGGTCCCTGACGCAGCAAGAGAAGGGCACCCCGCAGCGCTCCCGGCTCGGGTTCACGTCAGTGCAGTTGAAATAGATATTGAGGTTCCAGTCGTTGGGCCCTCGGGCTCCGCAGCAAGACCACTAGGGGGCGGGAGGAGAGCTGCAGGTGAGCCAGGCCCACCCCAGGAGTCCCATCCTGTTTGGGGACAGGCCCTAGCTGAGGGAGACAGGGCTGGGCTGGGAGGGGTCCTAGAAACAGCCAGGTAGGCAGGCACCTCCTCACTCCACTCCCAGGAGACAAAGGGGCCTGGGTCCAGGGCCATCAGAGCAGCTCTGGACTGCCCCCTGGGTTGGTGAGGGTAGGGGGAAAGGGGGGAGTGGGAGGGGGCTCCTGAACTTGTCCCTCTAACACAGGAGCGGCTGAAAAAGGAAGAGAGGAGGCAAGGATGTTGGCCCAAAGACCATGGCTTCCTCCAGGCCACCCTGAGGAACAGGAGTCTCGCCAAACCCTGTGGGGAGAGGCGCCACCGAACCTGTCTCTGCTGGGTCTCCACACACCCGCCCCGGGGATTTTACAAAGCCCTTCTCTCTTCGTCTCTGCAGGGACAGAGGGGCAATTCTGCCACCCTCATAATCCTGCCATTTCACTTCATAAACGCTGCTGTCAGCAGCCCCGTCCCCATCACCCCATCCCAGACATTGTGGGCTGCCTCCCTAAGCACAGCCATGGCGTGTGGGGCTGCAATGAAGCAAGAGCTCATGACCCTGCAGAAGAGACGCGCGCATGCGTCTCTTGACTCCCTGACACGGCACAGGCTGCTGGAAAGCCGGCCCACAAGGCACCAGCTCAGCGGTGGACGCAGGCAGGCCCCGGGGGCCGAGCAGGGGGAGTGAGGCACGGCCGCGCGGCTCTGCGTGCACGCAGCCTGGCCCCCGCCTGCCCCCTCGCGCACTGCTCAGCACCTGCTGCTTCACGCCCCACTCTTCCCCTGCTCCGGTGTCGCCCCCGAGGCCTTCCCCCTCTCTACCCTTCCCCATGTCAGCCCTACCACAATGTATAATTTTACACACACACACGCACATGCACACACACACATGCTCATTTCTGTATCATCTGTCTCTTTCCCCAGACTGCTATCCCCACGAGGACAGGCCCCGGCCTTTTTCACCACCGAATCCCCGCACCCAGCCCAGGGCCTGGCACGTGACAGGCCTGTAACAATTCTGTGTTGAATGAACAAATAAATCGCATCCTAACCACCTGGTTGGATGTCTGCCTCTACGCCAGGTTGAGACCTGCTCAAAGCAAGGACCAGCTCTGGTTCATCTCTGGATCCCAGAGCAGACTCTTGGCGTGGGTGGCGTCAAGGGTGTGTGACTGTGTAAGTGGGTGTGACTGGGTGTGACTGAATGCATGACTGCTTCTTCACAGGGATTAGGTTTGCAAGCTTGAAGGCAGAGCTTCCCTTGGGAGTCTCACACTCTAATATGTTCAGAGACCAAACAAACAATACAAACAAGAGAAGAGGGCCGACAGGTGTAATAAAATAGAGGGGCGGGGACACTGGCAAGCAGAGAGCCCCTGTACCAGCAAACGGGACAGTGGCAATGCAGCCCTGGACGATACTGTGGGCCCAGAGTTCAGTAGAGGGGAAATCTGTATTTTTATGCCAAATTTCCTCCTTTAAGTGTGTTGTAAGCCCTGGCCTAGGATTCCGGTTTGGAGCCTCTGTCCTCTGTTCCCCAACCCCGTGTCCCTGCAGGGCTAGGCACACGGGGTCCTGCAGGGACCACCAGAAGCTGGCTTCCCCTGGGACAAGGGGAGTCCTGGCTCTCTTCCCTGGGGCCTGCCCGGCCTGAGTGGGCCGGGGAATGGTCCCAGCACACAGGGAACTTGCTCCCTCACTCGCCTGCCTGGCAGGTGTTTCGTGTGTGGCCCCTGTTGGACGCTAGACTCACGTATTCCTGAGCAAAGTCAATGAGGTTCTGGAGGTCAATGTCGTCCCGATAGGCCTTGACGTTGTTGTTGATGAAGAGGTTGAGCTGGTCTCGAATCCAGTCCTTGAAGACAAAGGCCAGGATCCCTGCAGCCAGCTCCAGGAAGAAGATGAGGCCGAGGAACACAGAGAACTGGGGTGGGGGGCCATACAGACGTGGGGGTCAAAGACACAGGGCCTAGGGGTGCCATGGGGCAGAGCGCTCCCTCCCACCGCAACGCCAGACAGCCCAGGCCCCACTTTCCGTTGTGTTACTATTGTTCTATGGTGGCGAAGGACGCGCTGTTCTTACCTACTCACCCATCCCCCGCCTCTGGTAACCACGCCGTTTCCATACATACACTTTCAGTTTACACGGTTCAGGAGCAGCCACCTTCATCTCTTGCCCCATTCCCAGACAGATGACTGGGCATGCGCAGGAGCCCACCAATTAGAGCTCTACCTCCCCTGCGAGCTACAGGGATTGGTCCAGAGCTGGCCAATCAGAACCAAGGAGATGCAATTAAAGGGCTCTGGCAGAAGGGTTGGGAAGAGGGAGCCTCAGCCTCCAGGAGGAGTTCCTGGGAGGGCAGCATGAAACGATCACCCACCCATTCCTGGGCATCCTTCCACCCCGTGGGGAATGGAGCCAACCCAAAGGGACAGAGCCAACAAACAGAGACCCGGCCAAGTGACACTGTGGTGGGCCCCGGATCCAAACGTACGGGTGGCCAGCACACCCCTGGGCTGTTCTTCATGAGCCCTAAATACACGTTTATGCTTAGGCCACCAGGTTTCAATCACTTACAACATAAAGGATACTATAAATACTGATAATACGAATCTGATGATTATTGTTATAATAACATAATAACAAAACTACTCGTTATTAAGCTCAAACTCTACACAAGTGGGTAGGAGGAGGTTGGGGTCCCCAGTGGATCTAGGCAGGGGTGGGGGTGAGGGACACTCACAAACTTGAGCAGGAAAGTGTTCTCCCGGAGAGCCCCTATGCAGCCGGCAAAGCCCAGCACCGACATGACGCCTCCAACCACTACAAACAGCCACACAGGGTCAAGGCCTCCCAGATCCGTCAGCGCCGAGATGTTGGAGAGAACGCCCTGTGCCAGGGGAGCAGAGGCAAGTGGGGGGCTGACCTCCCACCACCTCAACCCATGGCAGCTCCACACCCTACCCCACCACCTTACCTTCTCACCCCAGGCCCAGAGGCCAATGGCCAGGAACAGGGCTCCCAGCACCTGCAGGAGCAGCAGCAAAGAACTGAGGGCTGGGGAACCAGCATCTGTTCCCACTCCCAGCAGAGGCCCCTCCCCACTAGTACTCAGGGTCTATCAGGAAGCCAGGGGGAGAGAGGAAGAGGGGACAGGGCTGTAAATGGGATCCAGGGTCCTTTCCACCTTCCCAACAACACATCTCAGTGTTCCTTCCCCATAGGACAGCCTGGAAGACTGAACCCTCCCTAGCCCTGGGACAGACATCAGGGGCCCTTCCTGAACTCAGAACTGGAGCAGAAGGCGGCTGAGACACTCCCAGCAAGCAGCAGCAGCAGGGTCCTGAGCCTCTACTCCCACCCCAGGACCATGCTGAGTTCCGGACCCTGGCCTCCTCTCTGCCTGCAACTGTGACCGCCCACCCACCCAGTCACCCCACCCCCGTCCCACCATTTCAACCTCCATCTACAGAGTCCAACCAAAGACCCCTGAATGACAAGGAAACTTGATGCAGAGCAGGATCCAGCTGAGGGGCCCCAGCCTAGACCAGTGGCTGTGTCCTAGAAAACATCCTGCCACGGCTCTGCCTGGACCTTCTAAACACCACCCACCATGCTGCCTTAATTTCTTACTGGGAAGAGCCCTGGAGGTCCAGGCCAGCTGCCTGACCCTGGGCAGATCCTTGGACGTTCAGGCTCAAAGGGAGAGCACCCCTCCTGCCCAAGCCCAGGGCCATGACCCCACCTGTTCAGCCCTCCCCCACCCACCTGCTTTCTCTACAGGCTCCTTGCCCTCAGCACGTGGCCTCAGTCACCTACGGTCACTTCCACCCGTGACCACTCACCTTTAAGGCCTTCCCCTCTCTGAACCCAGGCTCCTCCCACTGCTGTACTCTTTCTCTAGAAATGTCTTTTTTTCCCCCTTCTACACTGGATCTAGGATGTGAAACCAAATATCACTTCTGCCTCATCCCACTTGACCCATCCATGGCCTTTAGACAGGTGACCGGCCACCACTTTCTCCCCCCGAACCTCTCCGTGGTTAACTCAATGCCATTCCTCCCTGGCCGCTTCTCAGCCTCCCTCCTAGGACACTCTGCTCCACCTGCCCCATGCACACGGTCACTCCCCACCAGGTTCCACCCTCAGCCTCCTGCCCTTTCTCCTCCTCACACTCACTTTCCCCCACAGCAGAACACTGGCATCTCCCGGATCTCCACCCAAACCTCTCCCCGGCTCCAGACCCCTATCCAGCTGCGTGCTGCAGACCCCTCCCGGTCAGGCTCTGTTCCACACGGTGGGAACACATCAGCGAATAGGACAGATGAGCTCCCAGCCCTCACGGAGTCTACACTCCAGTGGGGGAAACCCACAGTGAGCCAACGAGGCCATTTCAGATCCTTTAAGGAAAATCACACAGAGCGATGCAGGGGAGGCCTGTGGGTGGGAATGTGCTTTACAGGGTGTTAGCAAAGTGGTGACATTTTAGCTGAGGTTTGAACGATGAAAAGGTGCAGCAAGAAGAGAATGCCGGCAAAGGCCATGAGGTGAGATCATGTTCCGTGGTGCAAGGGACAAACTGAGGGCGGCAGGGCCAGACTCCGTAGGGTGCTGGAGGCCATGGGGAGGAGTCTAGACCATATTCTAGGATCAGTGAGAAACCACTGGAAGGGTCTGAGCAGGGCGACACCAGGATCTGCTTTACATTAAAACAAAAAAACCTTTGGGCTAGCTTCATAGGCACCTCCTGCAGGCCACCTTGACCCAAACCTGAAACCCTCCCTCCACCCGTGAGTGGCCCAGTCCTGTCAATCCAGCCTCATAACTTCCCCTGGAGCCTTCCTCGCCTTCCCCAGCCCCCACCACCCCAGCTTTGCCCAAGCCCTCCTCCCTGGTCTCCTCACCTCCAAGCCTGCCCCTCACCCACCCTCCCCAAGGCAGCAAGGCAGATCTGCCAGAACAGACCCACCCCTCTGCCTCGAAGCCCTCCCTGCTCCACACTGCCCTTAACACAAACTCAAAGTCTCAGCCCAGCCCCGAGGGGCCATTCGTGCTCTGGCTCCCCACCCCCACTCCCCTGCCCAGGGGGCCCTGGAACAAGCCGGAGTCTCTCATGCCCGTCCTCCCCTTGGCATTCCGCGGCTCCCTCTCCTCAATGCTCTGCCTCACCTCCACCCACTGCCCACTAGGCTGTCACCTTGACTCTGTACTTACTGGCTGTGTGACCCCAGGTTAAATGACTTAACCTCTCTGTGCCTGTTCCCTCATCTATAAAATATAGACAATAATAAAGTAGATGCAAGAATACAGTAAGTTCATTTAACCTGCCTGACAACCCTGAGGGACAGGCTTCATTATCACCGCCTTGCAGGCAGGGGAGCTGAGGCCCTGAGAGAAGTGACTAGCCCACAGCCTCACAGCGAGGCCTGCTACACCCAGACCGCCAGACTTCCCCCACCCTCCAGAGTGGAGCACTGCTGGGGCCAAAGGACACCCACACACGAGTGAGCACACCGGCCACACGCGGGGAGAGGCAATGCACTGAGCTCTGCTAGCAAAAATGACTAGGCCTGGCATTTTGGCCCAAGGCAGCAGGAGCCAAGACTGCAGATGCAGCAAGCAGCCCTGGAGAGATGGGATGGGGGAGGGAGAAGAGAAAGATGACTTGGCAGGGCCCAGGGGCACAGATGCCACCCCCGGAGGGGCACCAGCAGCTCCCTTCTCCGGGCAGGGGCAGCCCCACCCCGGAGCCTTAGTTTTGTCAGCTGTGAGATGTTGAATTCTGTTCCCCAGGGCCAGCTCCCGGCCTCTCAGCAGGGGAGATTCCCCACCCCCGTTGAAGACTAGGGCTATGGGCCCTCCCTGCCAGAAAGCCGCTCAGCATGGGGCTGGGAGGGGGGCCTTATGACCAACCCCCCTTTGCAGGAGCTTAAGGCGAGGCAGCAGGCCCAGGTGCCAGAGGGGCAAAGGGACGGGAGAGCAAACGCAGCCCTTCCCTTCGTAGCTCTCTCCTCCCTACGGGGTAAACCAGGGGTGGGCTCCGCGTGCACCCCACACCCCAGGGTAGCAAGGGGGCTGGGCGGAAGCCGGGGCGACCCGCACCAAGCGTGCCCCTGGGGCCTTCAAGGAAACACCTCCCCTTTCTCCGCCAGGCCTTAGGAAGACACAGGGAACTCCCCTTCCCCACCCCACCCCCAAGCAATCCCCCTGCAATCCGGACCACTCCGTAGTTCCCTCGGGTGGTCCGGGTGGTCCTGGGGGTGGGAGGAAGGAGTGGGGGGACGATCCCAAGCCCTTGTGGCAGGGAATGGTCTCCCCCTAGTAGAGGACTGAACCTCCTTCTCCTGCCACCCCTAGCACAGGGCCCGGAACCCACCCTGCGCTCACCCAGAAGACAACGTTGAAGCCAAACAGGAAGTATTTCCCGCAGCAGCCGACCTCGGGTTCCTGGAAGTGCTGGTGCTTGCCAGGCATGGTGAGCTGCCGCCCGCCGGCCCGGGAACCGGCGCCGGGGGCCAGGCCCAGCCCTCCGCGGGCCGCCCGGGGCCTAGCCCGGCGGCTGCGGCTTCATGGCCGCGGCCACACAGAGCGCCGGTCGGGCCCCGCCCCGCAGGGACCGCCCCCGGCGCCCGCTGGGTCCCCTCGGAGCCCCGCGGCCTTTAGGCCTGCCTCCGCCCCGGCCCCAGGCTCCGCCCCCTCAGAGCCCCGCCTCTGGATGACTCCGCCCCACCCTGGGCTCTGCCCCCCGCGCTGGCAGCCGAAGCGAGCGTGGTTGGGATCTGCCTGTGACGCTTGCTGACGGCCCAGCAAACCCCAGGCACCAGGGACTCCTGGTTCCCCCCCGCCCCGCAAGGTTCAGTACCAGCGCCACCCCAATCCCCGGCCTTGCTGCGGAGCTCATCCCTGAAGAGGAGTAAGCACTAAGCTGGTGAGCGGATGGGGGTGGCGATCTGGATCGTGTTTTTACCACACGTGCAGGACACTGTATTACGGTGGAGTAGAGTCAGATGCGCCTTTCACTCAACAGAAATCCAGCCCTGCGTATACTGGCTCAGACTCGGGCCAGACGACACCTGGGTCTTCTGAGGGCCAGGCCTGCTGCTCCCTGCCCCTTCAGTCCTGCCAGGGGCATATACCCCACCCCCTGGCTCAAACCCCTTTGGTAGTTGAAGCCCCCAAGTCTTACCCCTCTCCCCACACCAGCTTAGGCCCTGCTCAGCCTCCTTGGAACCTGGGAGTCTCACATGAGCCCCTTTTAAGGCAGGACAAGAGCAGATCAAGGTTTTGGGGGGCCTGAATCTTACTCAATTTTAGAGCCCTCCTTAAAAGTCATTCCAGTTTTGTTCAAAGTGAGTATTTATTTAGAACAGGAATAAAGGGGCTAAGTTAATCCATCTCTAGCAGAACCATAGTGAGGCCTGACCACCACCCTCCTCTCCTGAGTCAGGGCCCCATCCACCCCCCTCCACTTCAGCCTGGTCCTGAGGCAGGCAAGGCTCAGACCCCTTGGCCACAGCTGAGGAAATGGCAAGAGGCCACGCAGGGCTCTCTCCTCAGCCCCCACATATCCCTCTGTGAGACAGTGTGCACCTCTTGGCCGACCCCCCCAACCCCAAGGGCTGGAGGGTTGGCCTACTCCAGGGAAGGGACAGGGTACAGGGTGGGCTCCTAGGCTACAAATCAGCTGAGAGGCAACCCACAAAGGTTTTTAAGCAGAGTGATCAAAGAGGAAAGGCCCCCCACTCCTGTCCCTGCACTCCAGCTCTCAGAGTGTAGGTGGCTTTGAGCTCCCCCTTCCCCAAAATAGAAGATTCTGGCCCTCAGGCCCCCTAGCCCCCTTCCCAGGTAGGCACAGAGTAAGTGCTGGACCAGAGGATCCTCTCCTGTCATCTTTCCACCTGTGGTTGAGCCCTCCTTCCCCCCATGACCCCCCCACCCCTGGGTGAAACAAGGAAATCGGGGGGTTTCCTCCACCTCTCCGCCACCCTGGGTCCTCAGGCTAGCCCCTCCACCACAGAGGTGCCCCTAGGCCTGGGCCCCAGTCGTGTTCGAGTGTCCATATTCTCTCCAGGACAGGTGAGAACCAGGTGATCTACCCTCCAGTCCTGCCCAGCTTCATCAGCATAGCCCGACACCCCCTCCACACACACACACAGCAGTGCAAGGCTCAGGGTGGCTGTGTGGGGATTGGTGCCAAGGCCCCCTCACACCACAAACTTGTTCTTGGCTAGGGAGTTGCTCTTGGTAGCCGTGTCTGCGTGGGCCTGGTACCCAATGACAGTCTTTGTAGAGAGGCCCAGGCGTTCTTTGTAGACACGCCTGGGGGTGGGTGGGGGAGGAAATGAGACAGGCAGTCAGCAGCGGGTCCTGGAGATAAGCTGGGACCCTGGGTCCTTGGCCCAGAGCTGCTACCCTGGTTCCAGATACAGTCACCCCTGTTTTGTGTGTCTTACCCATTTGGAAACCCAAAATATGCCTCTAAGGCAAAAGAAAAGCGTTCTGCTAGAAATAGTTTGAAATCTAGATTCCAAACCCTTTATACGGGTGGGTAGGGAAGAATCAGGAGGTCTACCCTTGCAGGCCAAGCCCGGCCCCCCCCCACCCCCCCGCATTTCACCTTCTCCCCTAGAAGAGACCCAGCCCCCACCCCGTGCCAGAGACGCCCCTCACCCAATGTGCAGCACGCCCGCCTGGTTCTCCGCCTCCCGCGTCCACACAGCGATCTTGTCCCCCTTGGTGCGGATGTTGACGACAGCCCCACACACCTCCCGGCTGTGTTCCTCAAAGCTCTCCCCGATCAGACACAGCAGCTGGGGCCAAAGAGGGGGACAGTGAGACCTCCAGCTGTGGCACACGGATTGCCATCCTTGAGACCACTGCCACCACGGGACTCATAGCAGCCCTACCCCTTCCCTTGGGGACCCTCCCCTCCCAGCTCCCACACTCACGGTCTCCAGCCACAGGCGGTCCAGCTCACTGTGGCGCTGCTGCTTGGCGAGGCTGACCAGCCAGCGGCCACCACGCTTATTCCTGGGGTCTTCCCACATGGGCTCGATGCCGTCCTGGGAGGCGGGATGGCAAGTCAACTGCCTCCCTTTGTTCCAAGGGAAATGGGTCCCAGCCAGCTTCCAGGCCCAGCTCCAGCCTCTCCCCAGGCCTCCACAGGCCCCGTCCTCTCTTGCCTCCATCCCCTCTGTACAAGCAGTTTCCACCACTAGCCATTCAGCCCCCAGACCCTCCTCTGAGCTCCCACAGGCCCCTGAGTCTCAACATTTGTCACCTTTTATAGCCTTGTATGCGTGTGTGTTTGTCTCCCTTACTGAACCGAGTTCCTTGAGACAAGAGTTCAAATGGGGGTGATCAAGGACGCCTCTGGGGCACTCCCAGTGTGGGCAAGGGCAGACATCCCAGGCTTGGCCGGGCACAAGTCACCTGGGGAAATCTTTAAACACTGATGTCAGGGCTCCACTGCACATACCTCCAGGGAGGGGTCTGGACACTGATGATGAGTGTCCTCGGGCAAGTCTGATGCCTGTCCCCAGGTAAGGAGCCAGGCCGGAAACCTGGGCTCCTTCCTTGTTCCACCTTCTCCCCTCCCCTTCCAGACTCTTGAACTTCCTCCAGGATGCAGCTCAGGCCTGACACTCTGTCCAAGCTTCTGTACAGCATTTCCTCCCATCAGAAATATATCCAGGCTCTGAGGGAGGCTGTCCTCAGCACCCCACCCCCAGACCCCCTGTGAAGGAGGATGCAGCAGAAGCCAGGAAGCATCAGGCCCCCTGTGCTCCTGGGGGGCGGGGAAGCAGCGCTTACCTTGAACAGGGCGTAGTCACAGCCGGAAGAGAGCTTACTGGCCAACTGGATGTGACTGTACATCCTGGAGAGAGCCCCCACCCCAGGCTGGAAGTCCAGGCTTTTTAGGGCCTGCTTCTAGCTGGCCTCAGACCCCTCCACTTCTTGCCAGAGCCCACTGCTTTTCACCCACCTTCTGGCCTCCAAGCATTTGCTTATACTGGTGCACCCTGCCTGGAATCCATCACTACTTACCCAAACCCTCAAATCCCACCTCCTCTCTGGAGCCTCCCCTGACCATCCATGCCCCTGGGGAAGCATTTAGCCCCCTGGTGCAGAGTCTGTTTCTGGCACCCCTCCAGCTGGAGCCTGGGGCTTCTCACCCGCCCCTAGGGTTTGCACAGCACCTTTCCGATCCCCTCACTTGATCACCCATGGACACTCAGGCAGCCTAATCCTCACTTTGTGGCTAAGACAAGCTCAGAGAGGGGAAGGAACTTGCCCAGAGTCACAAAGCATGGAGTAGCAGAGTCAGGGTCAACTCCTTGCTTCTCCCACCTCCCAGGCTCTCTCCCTAAGCCCCAAGAAGGCTTCACGGGGCCTGTGCCCCAGCCCCAATGCCCCCCACCACCTCCCCACAGAACCCACCAAGCCCCAGCCCTCAGCAAACACTGCCAGACCCCAGGGAGTGCTGGGAAAGCTGTGTAGGAAGCAGCCCCCTGGAGGGGTGGAGTCTGGGGAGGATCTTGAGCCCAGAGCCCCCCCACCCTGGCCTCCTTCATGAGGGTCAGACACTCACGCCCAAAAGTCCTCCACGGTGTCAAACTTGGTGACCAGATGCAGGTTGTCTTGCCAGGCCCGGCTGCGATCATTCTTGAAGAACCACAGAGCCCACCTGAGGGGCAGGGGTGGCCAGGAGGAAGTAGAGAGCCACCCATGCCCACCCCCAGCAGCTCCTAGGCTGACAGGGAAGTCCTGCCCTTCAAGGACAAACAGGGGCCCCCAACGTGGCTGGAGTGGGTTACCCTGAGGGGAGGAGTGGGGGCCTGTAGCTTGGGCTCCAGCAGGGCCCAAGTCTGAGGCCAGCTCGGGCCTTCCACAGATGGGAACTGGGGCCGGAGAGGAAGGGGGTTCAGGGCCACAGAGGGGCCCTGCCCGACCTGTTCCGCAGCGGGTGCAGCTCCAGCTTGACCTCCACCGGGTCCTCATCCTGGGCCTTCTTCCTTGGGGCCCGCAGAGCCCAGGGCGAGCTCGCGGCCTCTTCTCCCGCCCATGCCCCCACTGCTGCCTCCTCTTCCTCTTCCTCTTCCTCCCTCTTCTCCTTCTCCCACTTTCGGATTCCACCCTTAGCCTCTCCAGCCTGACCAAAGAAAGGAGTCAGCGTGGGCTGTGAGCCCTGGCCTCAGCGCTGCAGGAGGGGTGAGCAGGTGGACTTACAGGGCTGGCCGTAGCCATATGGCTGTAGCTGGGCACCTAGCTTCCGACGAGGGTGGAGGGGAGGGTCCCCAGCTGCTGCCTTTTAACCCACTAGTGCCCCGCCCAGGCCCGGGAAGGGGGAGGAGCCAGCGTGGGGGAAGGGCTCAGAGGTGGAAGGGCCTCCACAGTTCCTTCTGTCAGCAAGCCTTTAGTGAGCGCCTTCTGTATGCAGGCCTGGGGCTGGGGCCACAGCTGTGATCAGGCAGACCCAACCCCACCCATGTGGTGCTGGCCCCGTGGGGGCCGAGATAAGAAAGTAAGGGTCAATATGAGGGGTCTGCCCTTAGTGAAACCGCATCCCACCCAGAGTGGGTCCTGGACTTAGAGCAGGCTGCCCCAGAGATGGCAGAAGCAGTGCCTGACA